TTTTTTTTTTTTTTTTTTTTTTTTCCGTACTGGGGATCGAACTTGGGAACTTGTGCTTGCAAAGCAGGTGGCAGAACCACTGAGCTAAATTCCCAGCCCTTACCATGCTGTTTTAATCACAGTAGCTTTATAACTTCTAACCTAGGATTGTGATACCTTCTGCTTTGCTTTTGTTACCCAGGATTACTTTTACTATTCTGGGCCTCTTCTGGTTCCATTGAATTTTAGGATTGTTTTTCTATATCTGTGAGAAATGCTGTTGGATATTTTGATTGGGATTGCATTAAATCAGTATATGAATTGGAAGTATACCCATAGCCATTTTGATTTTATTGGTCCCGTCTATCCAGGAATAGGGGATAGTTTTCCACTTTTTGATATCCTTGATTTCTTTTTTCAGAGTGATATAATCTTCATTGTAGAAGTCTTTCACTTCCTTGGTTAGATTAATTTGTATTTAATTTTTCTTGATACTATTGTGAATGGTAATGTTTTCCTAATTTCTTTCTCAGTGAATTCAATATTAATATACAGGAACACTATTGATTTTTGTATGTTTATTTTGTATCCACTACATTGCTGAATTTGGTTATTCTAGGAGTCTTGGTGGAATTTTCTGGGTAAGTAGAGAGTCATGGCATCTGCAAATAATGATACTTTGACTTTATTCTTTCCTGGTCTGGCTAATTTTTTTTCTCTGTACTGGGGTTCAAACTCAGGACCTTGCACTTGTGAGGCAGGCGGGGTGCCACTGAGCTATATTCCCAGCCCTAGTCTGGCTAATGTTTCATGGACTATATGCAGCAGCAGTGGTAATAGTGAACATCTTTTTCTTATTCCTAATTTTAGAGGGAAACCTTTCAGTTTGTCCCCATTTAATATGATGATGTTGGCAGTAGGTTCATCATTGATAGCTTTTATCAGATTGAGATTAGGTCCTCCTGAGTCTTTTTTTTTTTTTTCAGGGGTTTTGTCATGAGTGGATGTTGGATTTTGTTGATGGCTTTTTCTTTGTGTATTAATATGATCATATGATTTTTGCCCTTCTGTTTATGTGATATATTACACTTACTTGTGTATGTTGAAACATCCTTGCATCCCTGGAATGAATCCTACTTGCTCATGGTGTATGATCTTTTTGATGATATGTTGCATTCTGTTTGCTAGTATATTGTTGAAGATGTTTGCATCTGTGTTCATTAGAGAGATTAGTTCTCTTTTTTGGTTGGATCTCTGTCTGGTTTTGGGATCAGGGTAATGATAATTTCCAAGAATGATTTTGGGAGTATTCCTTCCCTCTCAATTTCATGAAAGAGCTTGAGGAATATTGATGTTAGATCTTCCCCAAAATTCTTGTAGAAATCAGCAGTGAATTCATCAGTTCCTGGGCTTTTCTTAGGTGGTAGGTTTTTTCTTTTTCTTTCTTTCTTTTTTTTTTAATTACTCCTTCAATTTCATTGTCTGTTCTTGGATTATTCAGGATTTTTAAGTCTTTTGGCTCAATTTTGATAATTCACGTCTATATAGGAATCTCTCCATTACTTCTGAGCTCTCCAATTTTTTGACATACAGTCTGTGAAGTAGTTGCTAATAATCTTCTGGATTTTGGTGGTGTCTTTATGATTTCACCTCTTTCTTTCTTTCTGTCTGTCTGTCTGTCTGTCTGTCTCTCTTTCTTTCTGTCTTTCTTTCTTTCTTCAGAGCCTTGCACTTGCCAGGCAGGTACTGTGACACTGAGCTACATCCCTGGCTCACCTTTTTCATTTCTAATTGCTTTGATTTGTGTCTTTACTTTTTTGGGTAAGATTGGCTAAGAGGTTATCTGCTTTGTTTATTCTTTCAAAGAATCAACTCTTCGATGCATTGACTTTCTGTATTTTTTACTCTCCATTTTATTGATTTCTTTTTGTGTGTGTGTGTGTGGCTTCATGAATTTTATTTTTCACTGAGTTTATTGGTACTTTTAGGTATACAGTACAGTTACATTCATCATTAGGACCATTTTATTGATTTCTGCTGTGATATTTATAATTGCCTTACTCATATAAGCTCTGGATTTATTCTTGTGTTTCTAGGTCCTTGAAGTGCATCATTAGGTTATTTGTTTTAGCTTGATCTGTGTTTATAATGTGGTCATTCACAGCTGTAATCTTCCCCCATAGGATTGCTGTCATTGTGCCCCTTAATTTTGGTATGTTGTACTATTATCATTTAATTCTAGAAACTGTCTTATTTATCCTTTCATTTTTTTTGTGACCCATTGATTATTTAAGAGTGTGTTGTTTAATTTCCACACATTTGCATAATTTCTGTGGTTTCCTTTGCCATTGCTTTCATTGTACTGTGATCTGATATTTGGATGGTAAATTTTTGATTCTTTTGTATTTACTTAAGCAGGCTTTCTTAGTACAGTGGACCCTTGACTTACAAACGCAATTGGTTCCCAACAGCTGGTTATAATACAGGTTGGTTGTGAGTCAATACAGCTGAAATCTGGATGTCTACCTAGGTACATGCTATAGATAACAAGAAGCAGATGAATCTCCCATTAACCTAATTAACCCAATTTGTTCATATGTCAGGCCAATCATAACTTGAGGGTCCAGTGTATGTGAAAGTACCATGTGCTGCTGAAAAGAATGTGTATTCTATCACTGTTGGTTGGAACACTGTATATATTATGCATTTGTTCAAAGGTTTGGCTTGACTCTGATATTTCTTGTTGATTTTTTTGTTTGAACTTTTGTGGTAATAGGGTATTGAGGTTCCCAATTATAATTGTATTGATATTTATCTGCTCTTTTATGTCCATTAATGTTTGTTTTATGAAGTTGGGTGCACTGTAGTTTAGTGCATATATGTTTATAATTGTTATCTCTCCCTGTTAAATAGTTCCATTAATCAGTATTTAGTGTCCTTCTCTACCTCTTTTGATCAGTGTTGGCTTAAAGTCTATTTTAAGCATAGTGTAACTATTGTTTGTTTTTGAACTCTCATTGCATGGAATATTGTTTTTCATCATTTGATTCTTAGTCCATGAATTTCTTTTTGGGTTAAATGAATTTCTTGTATACAGCATATCATTGGATGCATTCTGCTAATCTGTCTTTTGATGGCAAATCGAGACTGTTTACATTGATAGTTATAAATGATAGGCATTGACTTATTCCTGTCATTGTATTATTTTCCTGTAGCCGCTTTCCTTCCTTTCCTTTCTGCTTAATTTCTTGCCTTACTTGGTGCATTCATACTATTGGACCTTTTGGCTTATTAGCTTCATTGTGTCTTTCTGGGACAGTGGCTGTGAACTTATGGCACATGTGCTGCATGGGCTGTTTGTAACATTGAAATTTCTAACAGGTATACCACTACTATTCTAGGATGTTAAAAAAAAAATTTTTGGAATGTTGGTTTGGTGGTCATGAATTTCTTTAGGTGCTCTTTATCATGGCAATACCTTATTTCTCTATCAATTTTAAAAGGTAATTTTGGGGCCAGGGATGTAGCTCAGTGGTTCCAGTGCCTGACTCGCAAGCACAATGGCCCGAGTTCAATCCCCGGTACCAAAAAAAAGGTAATTTTGCAGGATATATCAGTCTGGGTTGGAAGTTGTTTCTTTTAGGCCTCGACACACTTCATTCCAAGCTCTCCTTACCTTTAAAGTTTGTGTTGAGAATTCTGATGGGTTTTCCTTTGTAAGTGATGCATTGCTTTTGTCTAACAGCTTTTGTGATTCTGTATTTGTGTTGGAGTTCTGGTTTTTAATTATTATGTGGCACGGAGTGTTTTTTTTTTTTCATGATCATGGCTAGTCAAGGTTCTAAGTTCATTCTTTTAAAATCCAGGAATTTGACAAGATTCCCTTATTTATGAAGAAAGCACCATCAGAAGTTAATCCCAAGGAGAATCCTGACTTGGCTTGCCTGCAGTCAATTATTTTTGATGAGGAGCGCTCTCCAGAAGGTACCTCACATGACTAGCATTTGCTATGTGTCTCCGTTGGATTGAGATAAAGTGTACATTAGAAAGGTTCTGACTGACCCACCATTCACTCCACGTGCACTTCTTTGGATACTTCCTACTGCTAGGCATTGGGGATAAATAAGACATAGTTCCTGCCCCCAGTAAGATGCTGAATTGTTTTAAAGAATTGGTCCAGATGTGTGTAGAAAGTGCCAGCAAATATATTATAGCTGTAGTGAATACTATTGGAACACTGAAAGGCCAGGAGTGGGTTCACAAATCAGGAACTTGCACACCAGAGAATAAAACAATATAAGCAAAAACAGAAGTATCATTTTCCTAGTAATATTAAAAAAGGTCCTTTTTTCAAAAGCTAGGATAGGTATACCTTTATGCTTCTTTTTATCTGATAAGTGCTTAGTTGTGTGTCTTGTTAGATATTTGTAATTGATTGTAGCATTAAGTTTGCATGGTATTGATTGTCCATATTGATACCCATTTTTATTATAGCACTAATTTTGAATTTTTCCTTTTCCGATTGGTCTCTTTGCATTGTCCTATATTACATTATTGAGTGATGTACAATATTTTTAATGAACCTTATACATAGGAAATACTATTTCTCCTCTTCTTTTCAGAACAAGCCAAGACCTATAAAGATGAGGGCAATGACTACTTTAAAGAAAAAGACTATAAGAAAGCTGTGATTTCATACACTGAAGGATTAAAGAAGAAATGTGTAGATCCTGATTTGAATGCTGTCCTGTATACCAACCGAGCAGCAGCACAGTACTATCTGGGTAATTTATTTCATTTTTAAGTTCTTTCTAAAGAATTAACTTACTGTAAAAGTGATTATAATGGCTAGTGGAGGGTTTAAGATTATCAGAGGAAGAGGGGCTGTTCATCCCAGAAACCCAGTCTGAGGATAGTTTACTCTAGTGAATTCTGATCTTCTAGGTAGACATGATGAGAAGGAAACAGATTGGATTGTATAGTTTTTACTTCTGAATCAAAAAAGTGGTTTTGTCACTCTGGTAAGGTAGTTGATGTATGAGTCAGTTTAATCCATGATTTTTGAGCCCAAATGCTTCTACTTTTTCAAAAATTTTTGATTTTTTGTTTCCTTGTTTTTTTCTGGTCTTTTTCTTTTCAAGGATGCTAGAAGGATTAAGGCAGTAGAGATCTTTAGGGGAGAGAAGCTGTATTTGTCTAAGGGGAATTGTTCAGAGTATTTTGTGCAACTCTGAGGTAAAAACTATTTCTTGGAGGAAGTTTGGAAAATGCTGCTTTTTTGTTGGAGAGCCATAGTACACATTAACATGTTAAAGACACTGAGATAAAGAACAACCAAGGACTTTGCCTTGGGTTTCTTAAGTTTTGTTAAGCCCCTTCTTTAGGTAACACTAATACTCAGGCATGACTTTGGGAAAAGCTCATCGCTTGAGTGATGGTATTGCTGGTGACTCCTCTGGGTGGCATTAGATACTTGTTTCTCTTTGCAAAGTTTAGAGAGGACCTGAGAGTGACTCAGGCATTTCGGAGGGGCCAGTGGCTGAAGTGAGTCAAGGCTTCATCACCATTGAGCAGAGGCTCTCCCCAGCAGGTCTGCTCAGAGTGTTTTTGCCCTCATCTTGTTTTAGTAGAAAAAATGTAAAAGTCTTGAGTGATATAGGAATTTAGAAATTGTTTGGGCCAACAAAACCCCTAATTTTATGTAAGCCCTGGAACCTTTTGATTAATGCCAGAACCTGGACTAGAAACTTGACTTTTTTTTTTTTTTTTTTGAGGCAAAACATTTATTGGTACATTTTACATATACATAACGATAACATTCATGATAGGGACTTTGTACCTGTACATGATATATCTTGCTTATTCTTCACCCCAATACCTCCTTATATACCAAAGCTTTGTTTCCATTTTTTCTTGTCCCTTCTTTTTATTCCTCCTCACCCCTCCCTTGTTCCCTTTCTCATTTAAACATTTTCTCCCTATTTCCAAATATCTGTTATACATTTTGTACATTATATATTAGGTTAATTTACATTATGACCAGTGATGTTGAACATTTTTTCATATATTTACTTGCTATTTTTACTTCTTCATCTGAGAAGGGTCTATTCATTTCAGATGCCCACTTTTGGACTGGTCTTTAAATTTGGGAGGTCTGGTTATTTTGAGTTCTTTATACATTCTAGATATTAGTCCTTTGTCTGAGGAACAGCTGACAAAAACTGAGGATTTTTCCATTTTCTGAGGGTAGTCTGTTCACTCTGTTGTTGGTGTTTTGCTGTGCAAAAGCTTTTAATAAGGTGAGATCCCAGTTGATTCTTTGTGATAGTTCCTTTGTGATGGGGTTTTGTTCATAAAGTCTTTGCCGACTCCGTTTTCTTTGACAGTTCTACCTGTCTTGTCTTCCAGTGGATTGTTTCTGTTTTAATATTTAAATCTGTTTTTTTTTTTTTTTTTTTTTCCAGAATTGAACTTAGGTCCTTGTGTTTGTGAGGCAGGCAGTGGTACCACTGAGCTAAATCCCCGGCCCATAATATTTATATCTTGATTCTAGTTTATTGCATGGTGAAATATATGGATCTAGTTTTAATCTTAAGCAAATGGGAAGCCAGTTTTTCCAGGACCATTTATTAAAGAGGCTTTCTTCCAGTGAAGGTGTTTGGCTCTTTTGTCAAAGATAAGATGTCTGAGTGTGTCTGGAGTTGTTTCTGCATCTTGTAATCTGTTCCATTGATCCTCAGGTATGTTTTTCTGCCACTGCCGTGCTATTTTTATCACAGTGGTTTTCAAGTCAGGGATTGTGATAGCCCCTGCCTTGCCTTTGTTGCCTAGAATTTCCTTGGCTATTCTAGTTCTTTTCTGGTTTCAAATGCATTTTAGGATGGTTTTCTCTAATTCTGTGAGATATGCTATTAGAATTTTGATCAGGATTGCATTAAATTTGTATAACAATTTTGGAAGTGCTGGGGATCTAGCTCAGTAGTTCTGCCACCTGCTCGCAAGCTCAAGCCCCCAAGTTCAATTCCTGGTACAAAAAAATTTTTTTTGGAAGTAACGCCTTTTTCACTATATTGGTTCTTCCTCCCCAAGAACTAGGGATATCTTTCCATTTTCTGATATCTTCTTCGATCTCCTTTTTCAGAGTACTGTTGTTTTCAATGTACTTCCTTCATTAGATTGATTCCGAGGTATTTCATTTTTTTGGGTGGTATTATGAAAAGGCTAATAAGAGTTTGACTTGTGGACATAGGGAGAAAAAAAAAAGTGCTGGGGAAAAGATCGGAGGAACCAGAATCGAGGAACTGGTAGATGAAGTGGCCTAGAAGAGAGAAGTTGATCAGGAGGAAAACCCGGGAAAGGCTGTATTACAGATGTTTAAAGCATAAATTTCAAGGAAAAACCAGTAGAGCAGATCGGCTGAGTGAAAGGACAGTTTCCCAGCATCTCCCCATTCCAGGTGAGGGTCCCAGGCATTTATTTGTGTAAGCTGGCCCTGGCTTCTCCAGTGAGTCTCCTGATGTCTTGGCTTTGTGGGTACAGGACTGTGACTTCATGGGGACAAATGTCTGCTTTTAGACTCTATGACTGTCACCTGCTGATTTACATATATGGGTATTTGGTTAACTTTTATTATAAAAGTAATTCATTTCTTTTTTCAGCTTTAAAAATATAGAGAGATTTAAAAAAAATTAAAATTTACCCAGACCCAGAAGCAGATAACCACTGTGAACATCTGGTACAGATATTTCTGGACTTGTTTGTTTATGTAAATTTAGTTTTTTTATTTTCTGGTGGTGGTGGTGGTACTGGGATTTGAATGCAGGGGCACTCTACCATGTGCTACATCTCTGGCCATTTTTATTTCTTATTTAATTAAACAATTTTTTTTTTTTTTTTTTTTTTTTTATGGGATCGAACTTGGGACATTGTGCTTTTGAGGCAGGCGGTGGAGCCACTGAGCTAAATCCCCTGCCCTAATTTAATTTAATTTACTTATTTGGTTTTATGAGACAGTCTTGCTTTGTAGTTCAAGCTGGCCTTGAATGTACTATGTAGCTAACACTGACCTCTAACTCACAGTGATTTTCTTGCCTCAGCCTCTTGAATGCTGGGATTATAGGTGTGTGCCACAACGCCCAGCCTTTATTTTTTATTTTGAGATAGGGCTGGCCTCAAATTGTGATCTTTCTACCTCTGTCTCTTCAACTAGCTAGAATTATAGGTCTGTACCATGGTATTAGGCTTAATTTAAGTAATCAAATAGATCTGTAAGGCCTGTTTGAAAAGCATGAGTCCCTTGCCCGGCTTTCCTGCCATTTTCTACTTCCCAGAGGCGGATATTCCTATTTTAGCTATTACTTTTTATATGTACTTCATATCACTAAATTATTGTTTCTGCCATGTTCTTCTTCCTTGTTTTTTTTTTTTTTGGTGGGGATGGAACTCAGGTCCTTGTGCTTGCAAGGCAGGCGGCAGAACCACTGAGCTAAATCCCCAGCGCTAAATTATTGCTATACTTCTGCTTTTTTTGTGTCTTTTTTTTTTGTACCGGCAATCAAACTCAGGACCTTGAGCTTGCCTTGCAGGTGTGGCGCCACTGAGCTACATCCCCAGCTGTTGCTTTAATTTTTCAATTTTGGGTATTAGCCTTTGTTTCCCTACCAAGGAAGTGAATTCTATGCTCTCTCCCCACCGCCACCACAGACCCACGCTGTCTGTATATGTGTGTTTGGGTTATTTTGGTAGTTCTGTTGAGTATTTTAATCATTTTCCTTTTTTGTAACAAAACTTTGTTTTTCCTTAATTCCTTAATAATAACTGTCTTAATTATTATGTTTCTTTGGTTTTCATGGTACTTATCCCTTCTTCAGTGTGATTCTGCCATATCCAGTGTGGACTGGTTGCTCTCTGGATTTCTCTCATCCTGGACCACTCTTCACCAGCTCTGCCTTCCTGTGTTTGCTCCTTGTTCCCTTCATCCCACAGTTACTTCTTTCTAGGTATACTCTAGTGTTTTGGGAACGCATTCTTCATTTCTCCCTGAGAAAAGAAGTATCAGAAGTAAATTTTCTTAAATTTTGTATGTCTGAAAGTACCTTTATTTTACTCTCACATTTAATTGATAATTTGGCTAAGTATAGAATTCTAGGTAGGGATCATTTTCTTTTAAATTTACAGCATTTCAGCCGGGCATGGTGGTACATGCCTGTAATCCCAGCACCTGGGAGGCTGAGGCAGGAGGATCGCAGTGATTTCGAGACCAGCCTGGGCTACATAGTGAATTCCAGGTCAGTCTCAACTACACAGTGAGACCCTGTCTTAAAAAACAAACAAACAAAAAAGAATTCATAGCATTTCTTTTTTTTTTTAAGTAAAACATTTATTGGCACATTTTAGATATATATAATAATAACACTCATTATGAGGAATTTGTACCTGTACTATAGAATTTCTCTATATATTTCTAGCTTCCAATATTGCTGTTGAGAAGTCTAGAACTATTCTGATTCCTGATCCTATGAATAGCATTCTGGTGCTTTCTCTTTGGAAGCTTCTAGAATTTTCCTTTTACCCTCAAGTGTGTTGAAACATTGTGCCTTGACATGGTCCTGTGTGTTGGGTATTCAGTGAGCTTTCTCAGTCTGGAAACTCATGTTTTTAGGAAGGTTTTTTTTTTTTGGTTTTGTTTTGTTTTATTTTGTTTTTTTCTTTTTTTGTTTTTGTTTTTTTGAGATATATTCTCACTATGTAGTTGAGACTGACCTGGAACTCCCTGTGTAGCCCAGGCTGGTCTCAAACTCACAGCGATCCTCCTGCCTCAGCCTCCCGAGTGCTGGGATTACAGGCGTGCTCCACCACGTCTGGCTTTAGGAAGTTTTTTGTAAATTATTTTCTACTTTTTTTTGTTTACTGTTTTCTCCTTTGGGAAATTCTGGCTGTTGGTGCTTTGGTAGTCAAGTAGGGGAATAGAGCTAATAACTTGATATGTAGTATTTCCTTTGTTGAATCACCATTGTGCAGAGGTCTTCTATTTTATTACCTGCATAAATTAAACCCCCAGTCTTTCAGGAGAATCGGGAAGGAATAGGTCCCAGCAGTAACAGAGGTGTAAGGAAAACGGGAACCTGACTGCTTGGGTTTTCAGCCCACCTTCACTCCCACTTCCAAGATACCTGGTGCCAGCAGTTCCAGAATCTCCAGTGCTTTGACATTTTGAAGTATAGTTTGGTAGCCCTTGGGCTTCCCCTGTGGCTCTTTAGAATTGTTTTTTTTTTTTTTTCTTCCTGGTACCAGGAATAGAACTCTGAGCTACATCCCTGGCCTGTTTTTTTTTTTTTGGCGGGGTTACTGTGGACTGAACTCGGGACTTTGCACTTTCAAGAGTTAGTGGTGGCACCACTAAGCTAAATCCCTGTTTGTTTTTTGAGACAGTCTTGCTATGTAGTTCAGGCTAGCCTTGAACTCATGGTGTAGCTCAGCCTGGCCTCAAACTTGTGGCAGTCCTGCTTCATCCTCCTGAGTGCTGCAGTTACAGGAGTGCATTGCCATGCCTGGCTTAGAATGAAGTTTTTTCAACCCTAACATATCAGTTAGTCCCTGTCTCTCTCTCTTTTTTTTGTTTTTTGTTTTTTGAGACAGGGTCTCACTATGTAGTTGAGACTAACCTGGAACTCACTACATAGCTCAGGCTGGTCTCAAACTCACAGTGATTCTCCTGCCTCAGCCTCCTGAGTGCTGGGATTACAGGTGAGCCACCACGCCCAGCAGCCCCGTCTCTTTTTTGCCTTTCAGAATTTTATCTGTGTTCTCATTATCTTGGTCTTTTGTGAATTTATGACTTTTCGAGAGGCAGGAGGGGGTTCAGTTAAATGCATATGTTCAGTATATTTCCTTTAACCAGAAGTTCTTGGATCTTTTATGTATGTAAGAGATTGTAAAAACACAAAGGAGAATGTGTGACAGACCATCCAGTACCTGTGAAACAAAGTGTATAATATTTGGCCATTCACAATTTTTGCTAACCATTGGGGGAGAGTTTTAGAAATGCAATTGCTCCTGGGGATTTAGCTCAGTGGTTCTGTTGCCTGCCCCGTAAGCACAAGGTCCTGAGTTCAATCCCCAGTACCAAAAAAAAAAAAAAAGAAAGAAAGAAATTGCTTACAGGTAAGTACTAAGCCATTAAGTAGTGTTGCAAGTATCCTTGTCTGGATACCTTTTCTAAAATGCACTCACAAAAACCCACGCGTGTGTATGTATTTAGATACTTAGCTTGATTTATCTTACAAAAATGGTAACTGCCATGATGAATGTAATAATTATATATTGTAAGTATGTACTAATAAAAAATGTAAAAATCCCAAGAAAACTCCTAAAACGGTATCTGATCTCTCTGATACTGCATAGTATTCAATAGTATGGATTCACCATAACTTATTTAATAATTACCAAATTCAAGATATTTGGGCTCTCCTCAGTTTTCCACAATTAAAGCTGTGCTATAGTTAACAGGTTTTTATATTTATTCTTGTGCATTTATACAAATATTTTTGAAGAAATGGAAACGAAGTCTTTGTAAATAGGGGAGGGTGGAGAGGTTGAAGGGAGGGCAGGGGCTTGGGGAAAAAATGAGAACCAAGATCTGTCATGTAAAGGTACAAGATCCCAATGGTGAATGTAACTGTACTGTGTACCTAAAATGTACCAATAAACTAAAAAAAAAGAATTACAAACAAATATTTTTGAAGATAATTTCCTGGAACAAAATTGTTGGATTAAAGTGTCTGTACACACAAAAAAAATACAGTATATGCACAAAGTACACACTAATTTGCTCTTTAATTTATTCAGAAATTTTTTTTCTGTATTTGTACCAGTTCTGGATGTTATCTGTCCTTAATTTTTGCCAACTTGATGTTGGTTTTCATTTCCTAATCACTAGTGGTGTTTATTTGTTTTGTTTTTAGTACCAGGGATAGAACTTGGGACCTTGTGCTTGGGAGGCAGGCAGCGGTACCATTGAGCTAAATCCTGGGCCAAGTGGTGTTGAATGTCTTTTCACATGCTTACTGGCCATTATTGTTCTTCTGTGGATTACCTCGTATTGTAAACATTTCTTTCTTTTGGGTACATATTTCTAAGGTTCAGGAAGCACGGGTATATTTTTTCTAAAAATAGTTGCTGTGATTTATATTTCTCCATGATTGTACAAGAATGTCTTTGTCAATGCACACATATTTTAGGAAAATTTTTGATTTCAAAACTTGTTCTTTCTTTTACTAAATGACTTTTTGTTAGGCAATTTTCGTTCTGCTCTCAATGATGTGATGGCTGCCAGAAAACTAAAACTCCACCACCTCAAAGCCATAGTGAGAGGTAAGTCTCGCAGAACTGCAGTAGTATAGTTATCGCTGTGGAAAAGCTGGCACTCACTCCATCAAAAACTGACATTTAAAGCTTTGCAGTCCCCTGATTTTTGCAATCTTGATATTAAGTTCCTGTTCCTTAATCAACAGCAACATTCCATTTTAAAATAATTCCTCAGAGAATAACCCTTTATGCTGTAAGAATCTGTATAGATTTTGAAACTCATTTTAAATTAATAAGGAATAAAATTAATTAAAACAAAGCAGTTCCAAAAGCCACATTCTGATTTTTTTTTCAGATTAGCTGATTGAAAGGCAAGATTTTCAAATGCCATGTTAATGTTAATTAAAAGAGAAGTTATGGGACCTTTGCTGATAACTCTGATGCTGCGATGTTCTCAGATTCTTTTTTCTGTTGTAGCCTGACCTTTTGTGTAATCATAATGCTTTTATTAGTTTTATTCTTTACCTTTTGTTTGAGAAGCTCGTAAGTGCTCTGCAAACTTTTAATTTATTCATCTATATTAATGTTCCCTGTATTCCCATGGAGCAGCTTACTTAACATACTTCTCCGCAGCATGACTCCTCAGGTGTTCATGGCTAGAGGATAGTAAGCAGGTCCATGTCCCTCAGCTGTGGAGAAAGCAGACATTGAGTAGAGGCTGGCGTGAAGAGCGCAGTCCTGGGGTTAGAAGTCTGAGGTTAGTGTAGCCTCAGGTTAGAAGTCTATAATCCTTGATTCAGTTGTCCATGTGATGTGCATGACACCTGCTCCGAGGGTCAGTTTGCTCATGCCTGGAAAATGGGATTAGATTCTTTTGACATCTGAACCTTTACAACTTTACAGTTCTGATACTGAAATTCTAGGGAAAGCCTGAAGAGGCTAACTAAACAAAAGTGAACAGATTCAGATAAAACTTTTTTCAGCCGGGTGTGGTGACGCATTTTTTTGGTACTGGGGATTGAATTTAGGACCTTGTGCTTGTGAGGCGGATGGTGGCACCACTAAGCTAAATCCCCAGTTGAGGTAGACTTTATTTTTCCCACTTGTAGTTGAGGAACCAGAAGCTCTGAGATACTCAGTTCTTTATCCAAAGAGTCTTACTTCCAGCCTGTGTCTCTCTGATTCCAAAGCCTTTGTTCTTTGCTCCTAAGCCACAGCCTTCTCTACTTTTAAAGTACTTTATACCAAGGAGACTTACAGGAGTTTTGAGCTGAACGACATAAGGGCTGTTTCTGACTAGGATACAGAAAACACTCTTGCTTGTCTGGGAATTGAAGTCCAAGGGCTCAGCCTCTGTTTTCCTTTCAGGAGGTTGGTTGGTAGATGGTGGGGTGGGCTGGCACATGTGTATTGTTCCTAGATCCTAAGGGGTGTGATTTCTCCAGGTGCCCTGTGCCATCTAGAACTGAAACACTTTTCCGAGGCTGTGAGCTGGTGTGACGAGGGACTGCTGATAGATGCCAAGGAAAAGAAACTTCTGGAAGTAAGAGCTAAAGCAGACAAGCTAAAGGTTGGTGATATGAGCAGACAATTGTCATTTGCTAATTAGATTCACCAGATTATCTCTCTCAGGTTACTATAAAGTTTTTCCTCTTTAAAGACGAAACCTAGGCACTAGGGATATAACTCAGTGATAGGCCCTAGGTTTATACAAACTGGAGGAAAAAAAGACCAAACCAAAACCAGTCCCTACCCTTGGAACTCTGTGGAGGGCACAAACAAGTCAGTAGAGGCAAGCAGGAATATAAGAGTGTATGGCAGTAGTTTACTGTAGTGGCATCTAACATTGCCCTGCCAACAGCAGGCTGTAGATGGAGAGAGCAGAGAAGGTTTGGAGAGAGAAGCGATGCCTCATCTCGAAGACTGAACAGAGGTTTACTGAGCTGAATGGTGTTGGAGAAGAAGAACATTGCAGACAGGAGCCCTCAGAGGATAAGGATTAAATGGTTGTGTGTGTGTGTGTGTGTGTGTGTGTGTGTGTGTGTTCTTAGTACGTTTCCTAACATACAGTTAGGACTCTGTAAAAAGTGGCTATTGGGATTTGAATAAATAGGAAACAACTAAGGGTGCTGTAGTCTATTTATGTACTGTTTAAAGCTCTTAAAAGAAAGAAGGGGAGGACCAAGGATTTAGCTCAGTGGCACCGTGCCTGCCTCACAAGCTTGAGGTCCTGAGTTCAATTCCCAGTACTGAAAAAAAGAAGACAAGGAGAGCCAGGTGTGGTGGTGCATGCCTGTAATCCTAGCACTTAGGAGGCTGAGCAGGAGGACTGCTGCAAGTTTGCATTCAGCCTAGGCTACATAAAGCTAAACATTTAAATGAAACGTTACAATTCTACAATGATGTGCAACTCCTGTAATTAGACATATATAAATTGCTGATGAAATGCCATATATCTGGTGTATAACAGCTAAAATGATGATTAAAAACAGTAATAATGGCTAATTAACATTTACCAAAAATCATACCCAACATTGAAAAAGTACCGTGTATGTGTTCCAGGCACTAGTTTAACATTTTCATTTATGTTAAACCATCTAAACCATAAATTAGCCCTGTAAAGTGGGAACTATTCTAATCCTCCTTTTACTAGCGAGGTAGCTAAAGTGCAGGAAGACAGGGAGTTGCTCTGCTTACACAGCTGTGGTGAAGCAGGGCTTCAAGTTCAGGCCAGATACCACAGTCTTAGCGTCTGTGCATCCTACCTCACGTGTCCGTCCAGTGCCAAGCTAGAAGCAGACTTCCTCTCTCAATTCCTGGTTCCTCCTCTTCTCCCTGCTGAGCCTGTTCCACTGCACTCCCTCACTGCCTTCAGCTCCCTTGAACAGGAAGTTAGAAGTCAGTCTGGTCATATGAAATGGCAGAAAAGGTAGATATCTATGGATCCTTGTGGCTCAGTAACAGAAATCTTAAGCCTAGGTTATTGGGTGTGAGAATTTCTGAAAGTGGTGTATACAGGAGCAAAATCAGGAGGGCTGCTGTGGAAGGCTGTCACTAAAATGTCCACAGAAAAACCCTCAATGTGCCTAAATTAAGGCTTTTTGGTCCTGTAGCACAGGCAGGGTCCAAAGCCTGGCGCTGCTAGCTGAATAGCAGTCTTGCCCTGTATCTGAGTCCACACTGATGCTGGGCTCCGTTGGGCTTGGTATATGAAGCAGTAGATCTCATTTGTCTACATTAATACCAAAGTAGACACGAAGGTGATGAATACTACCAGAGATAAAGTGAATCGATTTTTTAAATGATGAAAGCATCACTTTGTAAGAATATTTAGTGATTCTTAATGTATAGGTATCTAATAATAGCTTCCAAATACATGAAATAGAAATTGACAACTCAAGGAAGCACTAAGTTCATAAATGCGTGTCATGGGGGACATGAGTCTCCCTCCCCAGAATGCACTGAACAAGCAGATAAGAAATAGAGGGTGTAGGGCCAGGGATTTAGCTCAGTGGTGCTGCCTCACAAGCACAAGCTCCCGAGTTTAATCCCCGGTACCCCACCCCTCCAAAAAAGAAAGAAACAGAGGGTGATGTCATTGAAAATGGTGTGTTGAAGACTTTGAAAAATTCTCTCCTCCATAAAACCCATGAGATAGCTTGCAAAAATTGTCAGTTAATTTTTCTAAAACTCTAGAAATAAACTAGAAACTTGCAGCAGTCTAGGGAGTGTTTATTTAAGAAAAATGGCGAAGCCTCAGTAAAAACAGCAAATTTGTGGCACTTTAATTTGTCCTTCCCAGCTTCCCCTCCACAGTTCCACAGTACCCTTGAAAGTCAGCAGCTCAGACTCGGTGAAAACACAAGGTCTGGCAGCCCCCAGAGGAGGCAGAATAGGGCTGAAGCTCCTTCAGAGTCCCACTGCCAGGGAACTGCCTTTGACTCATCTGTCTAGTGGCTCCTGGCAGACCTGCTCGTGGCTTTTTTACATGTCCTGTCTTGGAGTGCACCCAGTATGGAAAGCTGTTTCTCATAGCGGGGTGGAGGGGTGTAAAAAACCATTAAAAGCAATTGTTTAAGATTACAGCTACCTTAGGCAGTGTCTAGCACTCTTACAAACAATAGGCTTATCATATAATTTACAAAGAAAAACTTAGGATCTTCTCAGAAAAGATGCAGGCAGACTGAGAGACTTGTGAAATTCCATGAAATTCACTAGGATAGGCATAGTGGGGTTCCAGAAGTGCAGCAGAGAAGGGACAAAAGAATGATTTGAAGAAGCTGGGGGTGGTGGCACATGCCTGTAATCCCAGCACTCAGGAGGCTGAGGCAGAAAGATCACCATGAGTTCAAGGCCAGCCCGAATACATAGCAAGATCCTGTCTTAAACAAAGAAAGCTACAAGGAGGGTAAACTTACAGCAGTCAACACCAACACACATCATTATCAAACTTGAAAGACAAACAAGAGAACCTTAAAAGAGAGAGTGACTTTTCTTGTATAAATGTACCTCAGAATTAACAGGCTGATTTCTTACCAGAATCTATGAAGGCCAAAAGGCAGTGGAATGACATATTTAAAGTACTGGAAGAAAACCTGCGAACCAAGAATTCTATATCCTAAACTTATCCTTCAAAATTGAAAGAAAAGAAGTAAAACTCTCTGCTGCAAATTTTATGACTTCATGTATAGAAAATCCAAAGGGATCCACTAAAACTTTCTTGACACTAATAGGTGGAGCAAGCTTACAAGATATAACCTCTCCTGAGTGTGGTGGCACCCACCTGTGATCCCAGCACTTGCAAGGCTGAGCAGAAGGATGGCCATGAGTTCGGGGCCAGTCTGAACTAATAGCAAGACCCTATCTCAAAAACTAAACAACAAAAGCCAAAAACACCTAACAGAAAGACCTAGATAATATACAACAGAGACCAGCCTGGTCTGCGAAGCCTAAAATATTTACTGTCTTGCCCTTCCCAGAATATGTTTGCTGACTGCTGTTAATCCACATTCTGAGGGCAGAAGCAGGACAACTAGTGCTGGGGAGATTAGCAGGAAAAGGAAGTCTGAGTTACATTTCTGCCAGATCAGTTAGAAGACTGGTGTTTTTCTCCTGTGGGTTATAATAGTGCAGCCTCTGATAAGTTTCTTCCCTGAGTTTTTTCAGCATGTCTTCCTATGCTCCATCCACACTGTGGAAGTTGAAATTCCCACAGGTTACTTATCTGTCCTGGCATTGGTCCTTGTATGGAGAGTGCCCATTTTCCTTTCCTGCTGGCATCTCCCTGCTGTCTAAGCCAGTGGTGGCTAACCTATGGCACGCGTACCTCAGCGGGCTGTTTATCATTGAAGGCTCTGAAAGGTTCGCCATCACTGGCCTAGGTGCACCTCCTCTGGAGGCAGAAACCATCCCTCCATGTATGTTTCACAGCTCTGTTCACATCGTCAGAGTAACATAATGTACCTTACACTTGGCTCTTCTCTTGCCTACACCTCTCAGTGAGCTCCTTGGGTATAGAAGGTGAATTGTGAACTTCTGCTGATGCTGGGTCTGATGCCTCAGTGTGTGTTTTGTGAATGTTCAGTGACACAGGAGCACAGGCTGGGTAGAGAGCAGAGATGGTTGTTCAGGGAAGATGAGAGAAAGCCTGGGTGGGAGAAGAGGCAGATTCCCTGGAGCTGATATGTCTGAATTTCATTCCTAGCGAATTGAACAGAGAGATGTGAGGAAAGCAAAGCTGAAGGAAAAGAAGGAGCAAAATCAGAATGAGGCTTTACTCCAAGCTCTCAAGGTGAGTCCTCAAATCCTGGGACATCCAGTAGTCAGGTGAAGCCTGCTGTTAACCTTTCTTGGGATGCTTCACTTTCTTTCTGCATTAGTGGGGCAGTGTGACAGCGGAGCCCAGGCTCTGGACTCCGGTGCCCACTGTCTGTATGCTGTTCTGGGGACACACGGACTGCTTGCCTGGGCTCAGCGTTCTCATTCAGTCTTCACAGCAGCCATCTGGGGTGGTTTGTGGTGTTTTTCTAGCTGAGAAAGTCATCCCAGAGAGGTGAGGAACCTCACCAGCTACTGGCTGTCAGAGCCAGGGCCTTGCCCTTCACCACTGCGTTATATTCATCCTGGGAAAACTCCTTGCAGGGGTTGGCTCCTCTAACTAACAGCAACAATAACCAAAATCCTTCTTTCCCTTCCCTCTGTGTCTTGCATTTTGAAACAAATGCAGTCTGACCCAAATCTTGCTTTACTTTGTTTGAGCTGATTTATCTTCCCAAATAGATAATACCTGTTGAGTGACTATGGAGCACGTTTTGGTTTCATTCTTTGTTCAGTTACATTACGCACCTACTTAAGTTCCTTGTTGATTTTAAGAACTTAGCACTACTAAAATGCAGCCCACTTGCCATCCTAGCAAGCAATCCGTTACTAGGTATTAACGAATTGGATAGAATACTCCACATTTCCATTGAATGCTCAGTTATAGCGAGGGGTTTTATTTTCTTAAATGTAACATATTGGAGCTAGATTTGGTAGTGCAGGCCTGTAATGCCAGCACTTAGGGAAGCTGAAACTGTAAGTTCAAATCCTGTCTGGGCAATTTAGTGAGACCCTGTCTCAAAAAAATAAATAAAGAGATCTGGGGATGTAGCTCAGTCAGTGGTTAGAACTCCTGAGTTCAATCTCCAGTACCAAAAGAGAGAGAGAAAGAATACTGGAATGCCTAGACATTGGCTTGCAGACTATTTTGTTCTGTTATTCTCTTCTTTAGTCGTACCCTGCATTTTAGGCTTCAGTGTCCATAAGAAACTCTTAGCAGCACCCGAAGCTTGCTTTCTTTCTTCCTTTCTTTCCTTTCCTTCCCTCCCTCCCTTTCTTCTTCCTTCCTTCCTTCCTTCTTCCTTCCTTCCTTCCTTCCTTCTTCCTTCCTTCCTTCCTTCCTTCCTTCCTTCCTTCCTTCCTTCCTTCTTTCTCAGGGGCTCATGTGTTTAGGCTTCAGTGTCCATAAGAAACTCTTAGCACCCAAAGCTTGTTTGCTCTTTCTTTCTTTCTTTCTTTCTTTCTTTCTTTCTTTCTTTCTTTCTTTCTTTCTTTCTTTCTTTCTTTTCTTTCTTTCTTTCTTTCTTTCTTTCTTTCTTTCTTTCTTTCCTTCTTTCCTTCTTTCCTTCTTTCCTTCTTTCCTTCTTTCCTTCTTTCCTTCTTTCCTTCTTTCCTTCTTTCCTTCTTTCCTTCTTTCCTTCTTTCCTATCCAGGCTCATGTAGTTCAGGCTGGCCTTGAACTCGTGGCCATCTTCCTGCCTCCCCTTCCTAGTGCTGGGATCACAGATGTGTGCCATTATGCCTGGCTACAAAGCTCTATTTTACTGATGGTTTAAGACAAAGGTCAGCAACTGCAGCCTTTGAAACAGCCTTGCCTGTGTATATATTATCTATGGCTCTTTTCATGCTACAGTGATAGAGTTGATTAATTTCAACAGAGATTATTTTGCTTGTATTATCTGATCCTTTAAGAAAAAGTTGGCCAGCCCTAATACACTTGATTTTAGCCAGAACCTGGAGAAGCGATGGCCAGCCACAATGTTAGGGGATGTTATCAAAAGGAATTTTGATTGGCCATGAGTTCCCATGTCGGCACATGGACATAAGATGTTACCTTCCTATTCAGACCCTTGATTGACCCTCATTTCGGTGAGACAGATCCTGTATCCTCACGATACTGAGACATTTGTGAGTGGCATACAGGCTGCACTCTTTATCTTTCCTGTGACCTCGCCTGTGCCGCCTTTCTAAGTCATTATTCAAGGCCTAGCATTTCCCAGTCACTCCGGCCCCAGGCTGAGTTGATCCTTGTCTGCAGTTTTGTAGCACCATGTCGTACCTCCTGTGCTGTCTCCCTCTAGACTAGAAACAGAGGCCAGAGGTCAGGGAACTGTGGCTAGCTCCTCTGTGACACAGGAGGTGCCCAGCGAAGGTGAGTTGGACCAGTGGTGCCTCGTCCACACCAAGCCTCGGGTGTACTGAAGAGGAATCCCATGGAGCTGGCCCTCTGGGAACTCACGTTGTTGGAGTCTCCTTAGTTCAGTGAAATGGGTTGTGTCTCCCCAAGCAGTAAGGTTTCAGATGTCTGTATGTTTGTGTCTGACCTAGGCTAGGAATATCAGGCTCATGTCGGAAGCTGCTGGTGAGGATGAAGATGCAGCCTCAGAAGGTCTGGGCGAGGTGTTTCTGGATGGGCTCAGCTCTGAGAACCCTTATGGCGCCAGGCTGAGTCTGGATGATGAGGGCAGGCTGAGCTGGCCTGTGCTGTTCCTGTACCCAGAATACGCCCAGTCGGACTTCATCTCTTCTTTTCACGAGGACTCCCGGTACTTCCTCATCCAACAGCCCTTGCTCTTCCTTGTACTTTCCCTGCTGCCTTGACACAGCGGATAGGTAGATTTTTGGTTGCCTAGGAAAGAGAATAGAGGGTTTCCCACACTTTGGTTTGATATAACCTCTTTATAGTGTAGCTGACTGAACCTTTATTAACTAGGTTTGCAACGACAGATACACGTTTCACCTTCAAATGTCCTGAGCTAGTAACAGTATAGTGTCTCCCACAGAGTGGCCTGGATTACTGGTAAAGTATGAAATTGTTTTATGTAGTGCACACATCGTGATTTAAGTGCATATTAGATAAAATATAAATAGCACATTTAACTCACAACTTCATAGAGTTAATGCTTAATGTAGCTAAATGTAAGAAATGCTTTTAACTGTTTATAAAAATTATGTCATAGAACAAATGATACAAAGGCACACTTAGGGCAGTGCTGTCAAAATGGACTCGGCCTTTCTGTCTCTGGAATTGCATCCAGGTATTGGTGTGGGAAAGGAGATTGTGAGTTATTGATGCCCATGGTTCATGTTGTGTCCTTAGGTTTATTGATCATCTCATGGTGATGTTTGGTGAAATACCCTCTTGGGACTCAGAGCAAAAATACTGCCCTGATAATCTGGAGGTAAGAGAAGTTATATTTCCCATCTCCGAAACTTTTTTTTTTTGGTACTGGGGATCGAACACGGGACCTTGCACTTGAGAGGCAGGTAGTGGCACTACTGAGCTGAATCCTGACCCATCTGTGAAACTTTTTAAAGGGAAGTGGCAGAGGCATAGAGATCAATTAATTGTGCTAAAATACACATTTTTACTTACAGTCTGAGAGTAAGATGCCAGCTGATACCTCAGAACCCTGAACACTGGGCTGGGATTTAGGTCAGTGGTGTTGCCGCCTGCCTTGCAAGTGCAAGGTCCCAAGTTTGATCTCCGGTACCAAAAAAAAAAAAAAAAAAAAAAAAAACTGCAGAACGCTGAATACTTTAGTGTGTGTTTCCTACAAACAAGGATATTTTTCTTCATAGTCTCAAAAGAGCCATCAAAGTCGGGAAATTAACAATAGCACCCTACTGTTATGTAGTTCTATGGCTTCGTTAACATTTCCCACATTGTCCCAGCAATTAGTTTTTTTGTTTTTTGTTTTCATAAGGGAAGACAGGGTCTTGCTATGCAGTCCAGGCTGTCCTTGGACTAGCAACCCTCCTGCTTTAGCCTCCCCAGTGCTGGGGTTACAGATGTGCACTACCACACTGGGCTTGTTTGGTTTTGTTCTCATTTTGTGGCAGGAGTCTTCTTCCTAGCCCTTGGCTCCTTTCCAGGAGCACAGTGTGTTCAATGATCATGTCCAGTTGCCTCTCTCAACACAGCACTGTTCCTCAGACTTTCCTCTTCTTTCTTGATCTTGACCCACACATTACAGACCATTGTCTGTGGAATGCCTGTCTGTGGTGTCCCATGTTTCCTCTGACACAGGACTGAGATGTAGCTTAGTGCATTTGGGGACCCATATGTGGCTGGGATGTCACAGAATGATGCAGTGTTCTCATTGCGTCCTGTGGGTACTGCCTGGTTCCCATTTGGGCATTCTTTGAGACATCTGCTCTGGTCACCTGACTGAGGAGGGGTCTGCCGGGCCACTCTACTGTACAGTTATTGCTCTTCTGTATAATTAATGAGTATTTTACAGAGAGGAACTTTGAAATGACAGAAATATTCTATTTCTCTTCTTCAGACCTTCAACTTTTTTTTGTTTTTTTGTTTTTGGCATTGGGGATCAAACTTAGGACCTTGCACTTGTAAGTTGGGCAGCGGCACCACTGAGCTAAATCCCTGGCCCAGACCTTCAACATTTTAATAGCAGCTTTAAGATTTCCTCTTGTATTCAGTGAGTTACAGTCTGCCACAATGATTGGTTACTTTAGCTTTAAGATTTCCTCTTGGATTCAATGAGTTACTGTCTGCCACAATGATTAGTTACTTTGTGGGTTTTTCTTGAAGTACTAAAGATGGAACCTATGGCCTTGTGCATGCTAGGCAAACATTCTACCACTGAGTTGTAGCTCCATTTGGCTATAATGGTTAATTTCATGGTTAGATTGTCCTGGAGATGGCCAGTGGAAAACCCTTTAAATTTGCTTCTATGTCCTTTTGATTTATCGCCATTTTTAAAGCACTTGCTTTCTGCACAAGATGTTCCAGGTTCAAATGGTGCTTTCCTTGTCCTGACTCACCCATTTTTCCCCCCATGGAGCCCTTTCTAGTGGAGAATGGTATTGAGAAGCTAAGATTCCTGTGCAGTAGATGTGCTATTATATAGGGGAAAGAGAATCAGTGCTTTGGTCCTTCTCAATGCCTCACAGCTAGGGAGTCTGTGTGTGTGTGTGTGTGTGTGTGTGTGTGTGTGTGTGTGTGTGTGTGTGTGAGAGAGAGAGAGAGAGAGAGAGAGAGAGAGAGAGGGAGGGAGAGAGAGAGAGAGAGACACCTTACTCATCCTGTGTGGAATCTGACAACTTGCACTGCTCAACCACCCCACATGAATGTTCTCCTTATTCTGCTTGAGCTCTAATCCCCAGCCATGACTGGTTGTCCTCCTCGTCCACCTGGGTCCTGATGCCCCACTTTGACTGCCCCACCCAGAGACACTCTGCTTATCCTTTTTGGGCTCCAACATGCCACCACCAACAGCTGTCTCACAAGGAAGCCCTTTTCACCCAGCTCAACCTGCCAGCTCCTGGCATGGATGCCCCCTCCCCGATCCAGTTCTGAGACCCTCACCCCTGGCAGCCCTCCGGTACACACATCCTCCTGTCCCTGCCTGGGCTCTGATGCCCTGCCCCAACTTTCCTCTCACCTGCTCTGGTTCTTCCTTTGCTCTGGGATACTGCCCTCCATCCCCTTCTGATAGCTCTAGGATTAAACTGTTAGAGAAGAGAAGGCTACAGAGGCTTGGGTTCAAGTCTTAGATTCTCTGTTTACTAGCTGTGATTTTGGCAAAATATGTCCTTCTCTGAGCCCTGGTTCTGTCTTTGGAGAATGGAGCTGAGTGTAACCTTTTCTATCTTGTCATAGGGAGGACTGAATGCAAAGCACACAGCCCTTAGCTAACATGGTACACATTCAGCTAGTAATAGGCACTGTCTCTTAACTCTTCCTCATTGTGCTTGGTAAGCTGTGAAGAGCTTTATTTGCCTCTGAATTTTGCTCTTGATTATCTTATAGGTCTACTTTGAGGATGAGGACAGGACAGAATTATACCAGGTGCCTCCCAAGAGCACCCTGCTGCAGGTGCTGCAGCACCCCAGGTGAGCAGTTCATGGGGCTGAGCAGGCACCTTCCCAGGAGTCCAGCCAACTTCTCATTCCTCTGCTTGGTGCTCACCTGGTGCTCCCCTCCCACCTGCGCTGCACAGTGTGCTTGAGTTGGCAGCCCTGGGGACAGGCAGGTTTGCAGTGTGATGACACCCTGTTGTGCTGCAGTTTTGGCCCTCCCAGACTGGAGATGACTGTCTGGTCTCAGGCTTTTGCACCTGGGATGGCCCTGCTTTTCCCAACTGTACCTGTGTCCTCAGATGTTATTAGGGGGAAAGGGCACTGACTCTTCCTTCACTACCCTGTAGCCCTGAGCACACTGTGCTCTGTGGGGTTCTACCTTCATCTGTAGTGCGGGGATAATAATGCCTGCCTATGTTTCTCAGCATTAGAGAGTCCGTGAGTGTGCAGGAGTCCAAGTGTCCTGTAAACTGTACCCAGCACTCCAGATGCAGGAGGGCATCAGCAGCCATAGCCAGTGAGATGTGGCAATTGTCTGTCTCAGCAGATTCTGTAAGAGGATGCCCTCTGTGGAGTAACACATCAAGACTACCTTTCTCTGACCTTGAGCAAAACAAAGAAGAGAAAGCTAAGTGCTTTTTGCACATAGGCTAGAAGAATCCCATGTCCTGGAGGAAAGGGTGGGTGGTATGCTAGGAAATGAGGCTGGAGAGCTAAGTTAGGACTGGGCATAAAGCATAAACTTGAATTCCCTTCTGCATTTATTTTATTTATTTAATTTTAGGGGGAGGGTGCAGGGATCAAACTCAGGCCCTTGCACTTGTGAGGCAGGCAGTGGAACCACTGAGCCAAATCCCCAGCCCCTTGAATTCCCTTCTAAGGAGCATAAACATTATTCTGAGGGTGGTATATGAAGTCACAGAGAACATTTATTTAGGTCAGATCCGAAATGTCCTGTTTGATGGGGAGCCTGAAGTAGGAAGGGATGGATTGGAGAGGGCTGGGATAGCCTGGGTGGAGTTGGTGAAGTGCTGACAGGCTTGGTGGTCCCACTGGTCTCGGATGCTTCTGCTTTGTCTTGGGAGGCAGGTGGGAAAGGTTCTCCAGATCTGATCAGTCCTCCCCCACCCCCACCCCACCCCCGTCCCTAATCTCCGTTATCCAGGCCGGGGATTTAATTCAGTGGTTCCACCACCTGCCTTGAAAGTGCAAGGACCTGAGTTCAATCCCCGGTACCAAAAAAAAAACCAAACCAAAACAAAACAAAAAAAACAGAAACACCAAATCTCCCTTATCCTAGTTTATGGACAAAATTTCCTGTTCATTTTCTCCGCTGTCAGCAAATTACCCTGAATTCTTTAAAGGTCTGAGGTCCATTCTACCTTGTCTCCAAAAAACAGAGGAGAAATATAAACAAAGCAGACTGATCCATGGAGGAAACTAATTTCACACCCTCAGAAAATGTAAATGCTATTGGAAGAGATTGCTTTTAAATTACTACCATAGCAAGGGATTATCCAGGACTGGTTTTGGGCAACTCCACCTTAAGCCAAGCACAGGCCCCTCTGTCCAGAACCAGGCGGGTGAGTAATGCTAGCACTCTGCACTGGGGACACAAAGGCCCATCTCCAACCTGCCTCACTATCTTTGCCTTATGCCTAATAGTGGCGAGTGCTCTGGTTACCTGCACCTCAGGCTTTTGCTGCCCTCCTTCCCCAAACTAAAGCCAAGTTCAGACATGGCATATTCCAGGACGTCCTTCCTGACTCCTCTTGGAGGGGGAGCTGTGGTGTTGTGGGCTGAGGGTGTACTTCACAGATGCTTCTGCAGTTGTGCCTTGCTGTCTTTGTTGGTTCCTTATCTCCTTCCCCGGGACTGAGCTTGAGCAAGAACATGATTTCTGTGTGTTTGCTTTTTTTTTTTGGTCCTCCCAAACTAGAGGAGATGACTGGACTGGTCTCAGGCTTTTGCACCTGGGATGGCCCTGCTTTTCCCAACTGTACCTGTGTCCTCAGATGTTATTAGGTGGAAAGGGCGCTGACTCTTCATTCACCACCTTGTAGCCCTGAGCTGCTCTGTGGGGCTCTTCCCTGAGCAAGACAGTAGTGCGCTGAGGGAGCTGAGAGGATTAAATGATTCATCTTTTCAAGTCAGGGTCTCACTATGTAGTTGAGACTGACCTGGAACTCACTGTGTAGCCCAGGCTGGTCTCAAAGTCACAGTGATCCTCCTGCCTCAGCCTCCAGAGTGCTGGGATTACAGACATGCACCACTATGCCCGGGTTTCTGTGTGTTTGCTTTTTAATCTCTGTGATTTCAGGGCCTGGCTCACCCTGGTCACTTAACATCAAGGGGAAGCATGTTTTCTAGTTTCATGCCCTGTTAGCTACACATGTGCATGATGCCGGAGGACTGGCCTAAAGGTCCTAGTCAGGTTGGAAGGGGAGAATGTCATGCTAATTTGCCAGTAAATGTGCTAGAATTGCATTTTAATGTTCACTCATATCCAGTTTCACCTTGAATGTTTTGGGGACAGTCTGTGGATGATTAAGATTATAATTCATTCATTTAACCCCATCTCTTTGTCTTTTGCATTCACTACAGGTACTTTGTAAAAGCCCTGACTCCCGCATTTCTGGTCTGTGTAGGGTTCTCTCCATTTTGCAGAAATTATCTCCAAGGGAGAAAGGTGCACCGGGTAAAGTGACAGAGCCAGGTCTCCTGCCTCACCTTCCTCACCGCCTTGAAACAGCTGGGGCCACTCCTAGAACCCAGCACTTTCGTTGTGTCTCTCTGGGGATATTTTCCCCTAGCCTTGAGCAGGGGAAGGAGCTGCTGACTTCCTTGATCTGTGGCCTCTCTGGCCATCACTCTCCAGTACGTACACAGTTCTGTGCCTTGGCTGTGGTGTCCTGGCAGTCTGTCTCTGAAGGGACCACCTGCTATGTTTACCACAGCAACTGACTGACTCAGTGGCCTGTGGAGACTGACTCTGGACTTTGTGACAGTGCCACAAGAAGCCTGCGGAAGATGCCCCTCCAATACAGTAAAACAAACTCTGAGGAATTCTAAAGCCTGAAGGCTCAGCTAACCTGGCTCCTGGTTATTTCACCGTCGTGGAGGGGAGGTCTAAAGGGAGGCTGTGTGCTGTGGGTGAATGGAGCAGAAAGCCACACCCTGTTTCTGTGTACTCCTCTAAATCTGCCAGTTTCCTTCATCTTTGCAGTGTGAGAACTGACAGGCAGTAACCTCTAAGTTCCTCTACGGTTTTCCCATTTGAGGATTTTGAGACAGGGTCTCACAGTGTTGCCCAGGCTGGCCTCTAACTCCTGGGCTCAAGGGATTATTTTGCCTCAGCCTCCTAAGTGCGGGACTACAGGTGCACACTCCTGTACCTGGCTAGGATTGTATGCCTTCTAAATTGGAAAATCTCCCTGGGTGTGGTGGTGCACGCCTTTAATCCCAGCACTCGGGAGGCTGAGGCAGGAGAATCATCCTGAGTCATGGTTGGCCTGGAATACATAACAGGACTATGTCTCAGAAAACACACACACAGGAAAAAATATACCATTAAACTGGAAAATCTTTTTGCATGTCAGGTCACTGTCATAGGCTATATTTTTGCCCCCACTTCTGAGAAGATCTTGGATACTCTTACCTGTAGCTGTACAACTTCATTCCATACCTGCCTGGTTCTCTAGGGAGCACTTCCTTCCTGCTGCCCGTGCAGACGGATACGAGCACCATCTAGAAGCAGCTGTGTGTCCTCTGCCACGAGATCCCATCTCCCACACAAGGGCAGTTCCTTCAGCTCGAGCGCCAGCTTGAAGACACGCAGAGCAGAATCAGAGCAGCTGGCCTGCAGCCACTCACTGTAACAAGAGCAGGAAATGGATGTTGTAGTAAGCACTGAGATTTGGGGGTTGTTAATATAGCAAAGCCCACCAACGCTCATTAAGCTGAAACCAGCAGTGCATATGGCCACTGCAAACACAGTTCTGGCACTGTGCTAACTGCAGTACTGATTCTCTCATTTAAAGCTGACAGCCACTCTGGCGCTGTGATCCGTTCTCTCAGTTGGGAGATGGAGGCACAGTCACAGCACTAGTGTCAGAGCTAGGCTCAGCCCACACACCCTACTCCAGGGCCTGCCTTTGTCTTCCCTGCTTACCTTGCTTCCTCTGCCTGCAGGGTCCTGCTGCTGCCTGTTTAAGAAATCTGACCCTGGGCTGGGAAGTGCCCCAGTGAAGAGAATGCAGCCTCTCACTGTCCTGAGCCCTCAGTGGCTTCCCTTGCCTTGTTGGCCTTCTTGGGCACCCTCGCCATCTTAGCAGCTTCTCAGCAGCCTCCAAAGCCCAGCCATCCTGGACGCAGTTTAGCCATGGGGCAGAGGGTGCAGCGACTGAGGGTCTTTCCCCAGGAACTAAGCTGCTACCCACATCTCAGTTCCGGCCCCACAGCACTGCACACTAGCTGCAGGTTTTGGTCCTTTGTTTAGGCTCTCTGTGCCTTGATGTTCTTATCTGCAACCTGAGCAAGACAGTAGTGCCTACCTACTGAGGAAGCTGTGAGGATTAAATGATTCATCTTTGTGAGGCACGTGGACAGAGCTTTCCCCACAGCAAGTGCTTCCTCTGTGACTTACTGCTCCCCGAGCTTGCTGTGCATGCTTAGCTTTGGGCCTGTGCATTCTATCAACTCTACCTGGGCCACTCTTTTCTCCCACTCACTCCCCTCTTTCCACCCCAGCCTTTCTTCCCATCGCTAATGTCCAGCCTTCAACCAGGTTCTGTTGTCTTCTCCAGGAAGCCTCCCTTGGCTCCTCGTGTCCTCAGGGACCTGCACCATCTGAACGCATGCCACACTGCGTTGGAGCTCTTGACTTGATGGTTCCCCAACTTCTTGTAGACCGAGTCAAGAACCTCGAGCTGTGTGCTCTTGTACCATCAGAACCTAGCACTGCACCTGCGCAGCCCAAGTGCAAATTGGTTTCTGGTCTTGCTAATACAGTGACACAGAGATCTGTTTGTCACATGGCTAGAAGCAACCTGAGCAGGAAAACATAAATTACAGCATACGAATCCTGAAACAGGAGGTTCAAAGATAATATAGATGATATAGTGAACATTTTTTCACTACTGGCTAGGCGCATAACTCAAGTGATGGCCTACAGAAAGAAATGATTAATTCTGAATAGACTACCAGTGAGGGTTAACCTTTTAGAGACGAGTGCCCATACTGCAACCCCAAACCCACTTATTTATCGCAAAGTGCCGACACTGCAATTAAACCTGAATACTGAGGTTTTAGTTTTTTAAAGAATCACATTCATATCGTTTGTCTTAAAAGAAAAACTCAGTAACACAAATGCTGTAGTTTTGCCACCACTGGACTGGGAGGAATTGAGAGTAGGGCATGGTGAGGCACCTGGAAGGTGAGTAACATTCCAGGGCAGCAAAGGCTGATGTGGCTCAGGATCAACAGTGGCTGCCCCTGAACGGCTTGCTAGCTGGCCACAGCCTAGGTGCTTTATGTGGACTGCCTTACCCCTCAACAGCTCTAGGAGACAGGCAGTTGCATGGCCCCTTTTACTGGCAGGAAAAGTGGCAAGGACAGGTGAAGCAACCAAAGTCAGCTAGCCTGTAAAAGATTAAGACATGAATCCAGGACTCAGCCCTCAGGAGATACCAGATTACTCATGCCACCACCTCCTACAAGTCTGCAATACACCCAGCTGCACTGTTGTTCGCGCCAAGCTTAAAGTTTTGGCACTCACTGTGTCATGCAATGTCCCCAACCTGTCTAGAAGAATCCAGTCAGGAGATTCCTGTGTGATCCAACAGCTAAATCCCCATAGCACCTGACACACCATCATCAGCTCATGAACTTTCTAGGGGAGCCCTTGGCATCACAAACCACCGGTCCTCAGTTACTGTTACCCAGTGCATGTCTCCTGCTTCCTCTCCTGGCCCTAAACAATTTTAATTAGCCAAGGGCAATTAATCTCAACCACGGGAACTCATTAACAGCCTGGAGAGTGGCTGGCTTGACAGGAGTGGACGGCTCAGGATGCTGCCTGAATACTCGCAGACGACGTGCCAGCCCTTTCTGCGGGCCCACAATGTACCACCCACCTACCATGTGCAAAGTACCACTAATAAAGGGTAACTGCCACTCACCAAGCATCTACCATGTGCCAGGCACCACTGTCCCATTTATAGGTAAAGAAGCTGAAGCACAGAGAGGGAGGAAGTGTCTTGCATCGTTACATAACTGTTAAGCGGCCCGGGCAGTCTGATTCCGACCTCCAGAATGGAGCCTTACACTATGATGTACATCATTGCATTACATTAAGGGGAATACTGCCGTTTTTCAAATGTTACTGAAGTTTGCACTAATATAAGAAAATTATTTTCCTATCCTTTTCCTAACTCTAAAAGCCTTTAATACTCTTGGATGCCTAACAATCCAAGGCATCTCAGAATAGAAATGGATCTCAGGAACTCTGAAATCTTGGCACTCAAGCAGTTAAAGAAACAGCCATTTCAACAGATTTCTGCAAAGTTCTTTCTTTTATTGATAGCCCAGCAGGTGTTTCTTCCATTAAAACAGAATATTAATGGAGCCCTTGATTTACATTCTCAGCTTGGTTTACATGATGAGTTTGTTAGGCACCAGTCTTTGTCCCCAAGTATTAATTCTGCTATATCCCAGCCAGTTGCCTATGTCTCCCCAAGGAACGAGCAATGAGAATATGGCCTGTACCTGTTATTTTGCCAGCATCCCCATTTCATGAATTTATGGCAAGAGGTAAAATCGGCAAGTTCAGAAATGAGAAAGTAAGGTACACTGAATATTTCTCTTTCCTCTGAGATGAATCCATTCTGTGGGTATTCCCTAATTCTTGCTCATGGTTTTCCCAGGAAGGCTATAAATCATCCTATCAAGAAAACAAGATCCAGGTCTCGAGATAACAAAGTTTACAGCAATGCCTAAGTTCCTGGAGGAAAGTGCAGTTGCAGGGTCAAGCATGTCACATAAGTGAGCTCTGTCAGCCCAGACCACCCTACAAGGCAGGCACCATTAGCACAAGCATTGACCAGGGAAGAATCTGAGATGCGCAGAGGACAAGCAGTGTCTCCAGTTACGTCCCCTGTAAACAGTAAATCTAGGATTGTTGATTATGTCTCTTCAAGGCTCTAAGCTTCCCCCAAACAACACTGCTCCTGGCTACTTGAAGAAACCCTAGCTTTATGATCGGGACACTCAAGTTTCATTCAGCCTGACCTTGGGTAAATCACTGTTCTCCTGTGTTGTCTCATGTTATAAAATTAAGAGGGACAGGTACCAATTTCAGCAGTTTCTGGGGCACTGGCATCCTGAAGGCTGTGCCAGCCCATTTTCTTCCTGTAGCAGGGCTGATCAGCAGGCAGTGGTGCCCACTTGACCTTCACCAATCAGATGGTAAGAGAGTGGTAGTACCCGCCTGCCCCAGGCTGCTTCCCCTCTGTGATCCAGTGCTGGAGAAGCTTGCTCCAAGTTCTCTGTTCTCAAGTTCCAGGATTCTACATCATCACGTTAGCCCAGGACACACACATTTATGGAGTTTTAAATGAAATGGATTTCTGTTCCTGGCATCTGGTTTTTTAAAGTGTCATTGGGCTAGCCTTCTATAAATATATTGAGTACACATTTAAAGGTAAAAGAAAAAAAAAGATTAAATGATCATTTGCATGAATTCTAAGGCTAAGCAGTGTAGCGGGGAAAGCCAGATTTGGCCCATGCCCAGATTCTGGCTCTTTATCAGCAGAGCGTCTTTGAGTCAGTTGCTTAGTGGGAGCCTCAGGTGTCTTTATCTATAAAATGGCAGCACTTGGCGTGCATGATTTCAAGGACTGGACACAGTATGTAAGAATGCCTTGCAGCACAGTGGTACATGACAGCCCCCAACAACTAAACCTTTAAAAGCAGAGAGAGCTGGCATTAGTCTGTAAACATCCCACTTAAGACCACCCAAGGAAATGCCCAACAACAAAGTGAGTCAAGGCAGCGGCTCTCATACCAGGAACCCTCCCTCATACCCCACATCCATGGGACCAGAGTCTCTGTGGAGAACCCAGGTGATTCCACCACGCAGTAAGGTCAAACCCCTGCCCCTGGTGATCTGGCATAAGTTTGCTCTCTGGCCTGAGAATCTGAAGGACTCAATGGGATCTGGAGCTCCAAAAGGAGTCCTGGGAGCCCTGCAGGGTTGATAGATACATTCACTTAAGAAAGCCGATGGGGTGTGCTGGGGGTGGGGGTGCTCTAGCATCACATCAGGGGCAGGAACAGCTGTCAGGTGTGTCACAGGTGGGGTAGTTGTTCAAGACAGGTCTTGTGGTGCCCTGGGAATGTGCTCAGGGCCCTGGCCTTGAGTTCACAAAGATAGACAAGACCCCGGACTCTGTGACTGCAGAACGAGCAGCAGTGTGATCAGTGCTGTGAGAGGCACTGAGGGAAGAATCAATTCTAGGAGTTGTCAGGCAGGGTTTCAGGTGGCTTTGGCTTGGCCTTGACAGATTCCTGTTAGGGTGGACTTGTGGGTTATGTTCCTAAGTTAGCAGACAGAACTAAAATAGGGAGCATTGTGGTGGTAGCTCAGGCTAGCTGCCAGCTTCCCACAAAATTCACAGACAGATTCCCCCAGTGTGGCTCTGGGATCCAATTCTGCACCCAGGACAAGGTTACTGTGGGTGGAAGCCCGCTGCCCAATACTTGTGAGGAGAAATGGTTTGAAACAATTTTCCACCTGCCCTGCTCCTTTTTTTGTGTCAAAATAGCAGAAACAGAATGAAAAAGCAGTAAGTCATTGGGTGCTGTTAAAATAGTCAATATTTCATGTTTCGAATTAACATGAAAGGCTCATTCCAACAGTTTGACTTTATTTAATCAACAGAACATGATGTCAACATTTCAGCTACCTCAGTAGGGCCGGGACTCTGGAGGCACTTTTTAGGCCACCAGGCCATTCTATTAGCTTTGCAGGGAGCTGTGAGGACTTCACAAATCTAGTTATATTCTCTTGGGTTACAGATAGGGAAACTGAGCCTGCAGCAGGGCAGCAGATCTCCTGATTCTTAACTTCTTGGTGGGGAGCGCTGGCAGCCCTGCTCCCTGAACAAGGCTCATGGTAGACTTTGGCAGGATGGGTGCGGTGAGGGGAGCCCTGGCCGTCAGCCATTCCTGTCCAACACATGAGGAACTCACCTGAGAGGGGACGTGACTTGCCCAAGGGCCAAGATTAGAACTCAGTCTCTTTCTTGCTTCAGACTCCTGAAAGAAGCTTCCACAAAGGACTCGCATATGGCAGCATGGGGAGCCTGGAGAAAGTGATCAGGTTAATGATCTTAAATACAAATAATATGAGCAAATGAGTGGATAAAAATTGGTTCCGCTATGATGGTGTAACCTTCATGAGCTACTGTTTCTGCAGCAATGCCCAGGGAAGGGGTAGGAAATGCAGTGTTAGCGACAGCACAGGGCACTCAGACAACGTGAACTTGGGCCAGGAGTTCCAGGACTCCTTCTTTGGTGAGGAAGACCACCTCACCAGTGTTCTGGCACCAAACCTCAAAATGCGCAGGATCCTCCAGGGCCCTCTTGCCAGCGATTACCACAAAGGGGTAGCCAAATTTGTTGGCGTCTTTCAGTCTGTTTCCAATGGTCAGATGGGTCCGGTCATCCAGCAGAACCTCCCCTCGAAGCTGAGAGGCCCCTTCTATGATGTGATCATGCAGGTGCTCCATCAGCTCCGTGGCCACTGCCTCCTTGCTGCCCTTCTTAGGAGGGATGAGGCAGACTTGGTAAGGGGCAAGAAGGCTGGGCCAGCGGATGCAGTCTTCTGTAGAGAGAACTTCAATGGCAGCAGCCAAGATCCGTGTCACACCCAGCCCATAGCACCCCATTTGAGCCAGGGACAATTCACCATGGATGTTGGCAAACTGGGCATTGAAAATGGAGGAGTACTTGGTACCTAGGTAGAATGTGTGCCCTACTTCAATGCCTTTGGTTTCGGTCAGAGGGCCCTGGCAGGCAGGGCAGTTTGTCTGTAGTGAGTCTAGAGTCTCCATATTAGCTGAGAAACTGCAGTTGGGACAGATGACAAGCCGGTCCTCCCCAATATCCACTGGCAGCTGGAACTCATGAGACATGGTGCCCCCGATGCTGCCCACATCTGCCTGAGCCTTGATAAACTGCAGCCCCAACCTATGAAAGAGGCTGCAGTAGGCATCACACACCAGGCTGTAGGTCTGCTGGGCAGCCTCTGGGGAGGCGTCGAAGGTGTACATATCCTTCATGTAAAATTCTCGGCCACGGAGAAGACCAAAGCGGGGCCTGGGCTCATCCCGAAACTTCCTTGTCACCTGGTATAGCAGGAACGGAAGCTGTTTATAGGACAGGTTCTTCTGGGAGGCGACCAGGGCCGTAACAGCTTCCTCGTGAGTTGGTCCTAAGCAGTATTCCTTGCCGTGCCTGTCTCTAATCCTCAGCAGCTCCTTGCCCATCAACTGCCAGCGGCTGGTGGCTTGCCAGAGCTCAGCTGGGCTGAGGCTGGGCATGTTGATTTTCTGGCCTCCAATAGCCTGCATCTCCTGGTCTATCATCCGCACCAGCTTCTCCATGGCACGGACTGTATAGGGCAGGAGGTGGTAACAGCCAGGGCTTGCTGGGAGAATCAAACCCACCTGCAGCATCAGCCGCTGGCTCTTACAGGTCAGGTTGCCAAGCCTGCCTTCCAGGGACAGCACCTGGTCTTCCCGCAGGTTCTGTGGCTGGAACATGTGGGACAGTAGCAGGCGCTGCCCTCTCCCCATGGCACAGTGGTGATACCGACGGTGATAGGATGTGGAGAGCTGGGGGCTGCAGGTGGCCAGCCTGGACAATGCTCTGCATCTCCCCAGCGTCCCTTCCATGGCATCCAACACCGGAACACAGCACCTGGAGAGACATGAGGCATGGGAACGAACGTTAACTGAGCCCTGACACCACGGCAGCCACTTGGTCTGGCCTCCAGCAAACTTCCAAGCAGCCACTGATTCTGCAGATTCGAATGCTTCTGTATCTAATATTCTAGATCAAAGCTCTATTTCTCTTTTGTTTTTTCAAAAAGTCCCATTTAAACCAGCCAAGGTGGTAGACACTTGTAATTCTAGTACTTGGGAGACTCAGGTAGACTCAGGTAGGTCACAAGTCTGAGACCAGCCTGAATCACACAGCAAGACCCTGACTCAACAAACAAAAATTTCATTAAAAAGATTTTTCTGATTATGAAAATATAACGACACACTGTGGGGACACCACTGAGTAGTACTCACACAGGCTGTGGAGCCAGGCACCCCGGATTCCTGGGAGCTTCCCACTGAACGCACCATGCGTGGCTAGGACCTGTGCCTGAGCCCCTCTGTGCTCAGTGCATTCACCTGTAAAGTAACGCTGAGGCTTGTAAGCTTGCTGTGGGGACATAGAAGTCAGGGAAAGTTCTTAGATCTGTATCTGACAAAGACTATAAGCCTAATGCACGTTTTCTATTACAGAAAACTAGAAGGAGAAACCAAACCAAAACAAAAAATCAACTCAAATGCCTCAGCTAACCACTTGCTGCTGCGCTCACTGCAATCCCTTATTTCTCGAAAACCCTGTCCTTCCCACCTCCCACTCTCTGCTAAAATGTCAGGATCCTGCACATTGTCTGAGTTTCAGATCTACGTCTTAACCTGGGCCTGGAGGACACAATGCCCAGCTACTTTAAACTCCATGCCTGAATGAACTCAGCAACTCCCCCAAGTCTACTTCCCTCCAGGGCTGCCTATTCTGAGTGGCTCCACAGTGCCCTTCACCCACACCAGAAACCTGGCTTCATCCACTCTGCCTCTTGCTATGGCTCACAGTCATCAGCCCTCTGGGTCCTGTCATTCCTGCCCCCTCTCACCAGCTCCATGGCCTGCAGTTTGGTCCAGGCCACCATCACCTCCCATGCATGGGGCTCAGGCCTGCTCACCTCCAACCCATTCTCTACACCACAGTCACGAAGAGACATCCAGCACCAAGGGTCTAGTTTTTCTTGCTGGAAGTAACTCCCTGCTGCCCTGAGAATGAGGTGTAAGCTTCTGACCTTTCAGGGGTACATGGCATCCCCACTCTTCCTATAAGCTGGGCCCCTCTGGCTCAGGTCCCTGCTGCCCTCTCCTTGCTTCAGCTGCACTGTGCTCACTCTTAAACACACTGCCTGTCCCTTCGCTACTCACCCTCCAGGCCTTGGGACGACCACCCTGTCCCGTTCCCCAAACCTCAGGCCCCCACTGGGCTGTCAAACACCCAGTCACTGCCTGGAGCAACTGCTCACCTGACTGCCTGATTCCCTCCACACACTGAGCTCTGCCAGGGCAAGGACCCCATCCAGCCTGCTCACCACGACATCCTCAGCAGGCAGCCGGGGCTCACCAGATGCTGTCCACTGAATAGCAATGTTTCTTTGTGGTTTCACAAGACATTCACAGGTTTCTGGAGGCAGTGCAACCTCCCAGGGTGGACTACACAATGACTCACCTGCTACCCAGAGTGGTCAGCTTTCTCTATTACACCAAAGTTACAGTGGCTTTCTTCTCTTTTGTTATATACTTGGGAGATATTTCAAGAATGGAATGAATGAGTCAAGGGTATAAACTCTTTTAAGGCTGATTTATATCACCAGAGTTAGTGAGCACCTCAACTTTTTGGGACAGTCCATGGAGTGAAACCCCCAGTGGAATGCTGAGGTACTGATGCTACTCAGCTTCCAAGCTCTACCTTAAGTGGCCTCCTGCTTCTCCCCTGTGCACTGCACAAGTATGAAAAGGCTGGGAGGCAGGCGACAGTGTGGTTCATGAAAAAGTGCAGTGCAGGAAGAAGGGCAAATGTGGAACCACACCTGGCTCCACCACGGCTCCACCTCTTACCCAAGCCTGACCTTTGGCCAGCAGCCCAAACCAGAAACTCCCTCACTCCTAGAGCAAAGGAGTCAGACTCCAGGATTTCTCTCAACTCCATCCGCTACTCTGTGACTTCCTGCCATATCCTTGGGTTATTCTGTTAATACTCCTCCCTCCATGACAGATGCCCAGGGATCCCGACACCAAGCTCTGGAAGCACCCTGCCCCGAGGGACTGGCTCAGCAGGGCTGCAGTGGGCAGAGAGCAGGGACTTCCAAGAGTTCCCAGAGCTGGTGCTGCTGCTGGAAGAATCACTGAAGGAAGCCAGCTGTGGTCCTGTGCTTCAGAGTGTGACCTTCACGAGGGCAATGACCAAGCCTGGTCATGGTGAACACTGAATAAATGTTCTATCAATGGAGTAACTGAATGACTCTACCTGTTAGTCCAGTCCTCTATGATAGCTAAACAGACAACTGTTCAATCACTTTTTATAATCCATCAACAGCTCCCCACTATACAGTGGACCCTTGACTTACAAACTCAATTCATTCTTGAGCGCTGGCTGTAACTCAGGTTGGTTAACTGAAAGCTGAGGCTCCTCTACATAGTCTTCAGTCTCCTGTATACAGGCAGATCTGTGTCCTTAGAGAGACACTGGCGCAGGATTTCTCAACCCCTCAGGAAAGGATGTTGTAATATTCTGTCCAGAGCTTTTTAAGGGTTGTATCTATCTGACACTATCTAGAAGCACAAGTGGCATTCAGGTTGTAACTCAAGACTTGGTAAATTAAAACTAAAATTTCGGTTGGAACCCAAATTGTTCATATGTCAGGCTGGTCGTAACTCGAAGGTCCACTGTAGTTTGTCTGGAATGGCATCAAAGCTTTTAATATTTTGACACCAACACGTCTTTCAGCTTTTTAGCCTACCATTTCCCTAAAATGCTCCCTAAATTGCTCATCATTCCCAGAACAGGTTAACATCCACCAACATCCAGTGACTCCGACTCATCAATCAAAGTCTACTTATTTCTAGAAGCTTTTCTAACCTCTTCCAAACAGAATGTCACTCCCTTCTTCCCTCAGCACACACCTCTTTAGAGTATACATACTGGAATCACTTCCAAAAAAACCCCAAAAACCTGTTTTTTGAGATGATGTCTCTCCTGTAGTCCAGGCTGGCCTTGAACTTGCTATGTAGCCCATTTTGGCCTCGATCTTGTGATTCCCCACAACTTCCCAAGCTGACACTGAGAACATATACTGTTTCATGCTCTGTTGTTCTGTTTTTTGAGACAGGTCTCACTCTGCAGTTCAGGCTGGCCTTGAACTTGCCTCAGCCTTCTGAGGGCTGGGATATAGGAACGTGCCACCACGCCTGGCTTCATCCTTTATTGAACGAGTTCATGAGGCTGCATACGTTGTTAAGATTTCAGGATCTAGCACAATACCTAATATTTGGGCTTTTACTATTTCTTGGTCAGATGTATTATTAAATAAAGAGGAAAGGGGCACAATGATATAATTACCTGAAAAACTTAAGATACAAATTTTAAGACCCGGCTCTGTTTGCTCCACTCACCCCACCCCGCCCTGTTTGCCCATGCTGGGAATCCCGCGCCTTTCAGGACTAGGAAGTAGACGAAGGCCAAAGAGCTGCCCTCACTTTACCACGGAGGAGGAAAAGAGCAGGAGAAAACGCTATCAGAGTCTATGTGATCGCAATCCCCTCAGCTCGAAGTATGGACACATGGTAACACGAACTCTAGGTCCTGGGACTCCGCGCCCATAACCTGGTCCGCCCTCCTCGGTCCCGTAGACCCGCTCACAACCTGCCACCACCCATGCTCACCAACTACTGTTCCAGCTAGCGCCGCCCGCCTTCTGCCGCGCCGAGCCAGTACGCCTGCGCCAACTCGCCCTGAGCCCCGCCTCCCACCCGATTAGCCAATCGCAAGCTGCGTTTAGCGCCAACTCTCTCTAGACGCCCGGGTTGTTTTCCGGAAGTTGAGAGAGAACAGCAATGACTAGATCACCGTCCCGGAAGTGCCCTCTAGGACTTTTGGAGGCTTAACTCTACTTTCAAAATCGACCCCCTAGCGTTTGAGTCTGGTGTTACTGCCTACTACTGACAAGCACCGCTCCATTCTCTGAATGGGAGAAAGGCTAGTGACACTGTAACCATGACAACCCCCCCAGCAGTGTCGTTTCTAATCCATTCTGTGCTGTACCAGGCTTTCAATTTAAATAACTTTAAAATTGTGGAACAGTTAGAGAAAGACACCTTTTTTACAGTGTCCAGGTGGTCTTTAAGAAAACAGCAATTCAAACTTTCACAAAATATTTTTGAGTGCTACCTTGTACCAATCACTTTGCAGACACAGCATAGTGAAGTGAATGAAACAGACAAAATTTCTTGCATTCAATGCAGTTTACATTCTTGAGAGGAAACAGTCCTTAAACCAGTACGATGAAATTTAGGTAAGTCAGTGAAGAGGGCAGAAAATAACTTAGTGATCAAGACAAATAGAAGTTTGATAACTAAATTAAATTATTTTCTAAAATCGAAATTAAAGCCAAAAAAACTATAGTCAAAAAATCAAAATTTTAGATAAAGTTCCGATCTTTAAAAGTTAGAAGATTTTAAATGGTCTGGAGAAAAATTAAAGAAGGAAAGTGGAGTAGGGGCAGCTGGTGTGGTTGCAATTTAAGCTAGGATGACCATGGAGAGTGTCACTGACTTTTCATTTTAGTTTTTCATTATTAGGTATCGAAACCAGGGAAAGGCACAAGACATCCTGGTGAGGGGGGAACAGGGGTGGCAAATGCATGTTAGCTTCATGATCTTACAGACCAGCGCTAGTGTCTGCCCACCCAGCAGGAGGCTGCACGAATCTGGAAGGATCTGATTTCTGTCCCAAGAGCCCTGCTCGGCTTCCACACCAGGCACTGTGGGAAGGGGCTTTACCCAGAACACGGCGGCAGCCAATATTCCCACCCCGCCCTTTGGGGGGAGGGGACAAATCATCCAGAATTTCTGGGAATCCGCAAATGCAAAGTAGCTTTTATTTCTCCCCGCTTCCCAGGCACATGATCACATCCCTTCCATTCTTAGAACAGCCAAGCAGCCGGCCTCTGCACCCTGAGGTGTTATTTCTCAATTAGCAGTTCCCAGGCTGTAGAACATAGCAGTGTGGAGAGGCCTAATGACTGCTGCATTATGCACCCCCACGTCTTCGGAGCACTTACCAGTGGTAACTAATTAATGCTCACGACCCCCTTGGGAGACAAACCAAGAATGCCGTGTTTTCCCCGAGTTTGCAGGAAACTCTGCACCCTGGAGCTGCAGAGCTTGATCATGAAGCCATTGCCAGCTTTGCTCCCCACTGAGAAAGTCCAGGTGGTAGAGACTCCCAGGTAGGGGAGACCTAGCAACTGGCTGTCACTGCTAGTGACTTCCTGTGTGATATTTCAGTCAGCCAATTGATCAGTAATTTATTGGATGCCTTGAATTGCAGAGCTCAAGTCAGCTGTGGCAGAGTGCTTGCTTAGCATGCAAGAGGTACTGAGTTCAAAAATTAAAAAAAAATTTTTTAAGCCCACAGAGGAAAAAAATTCATTTATTTATTATTAAAAAGAAAAAGGATGCTGGGCAGGAAGATTGTCATCAGTTCAAAGCCAGGCTGAACTACATAGCGAGACACCATCTGAAACAAAATGAAACAGAAAAATTAATGAAAAGGAGTCCACAACTGCCTTGTGCCACAAAGCCCTGGGGACACACTGTGCCCTTAGTGGGCTCCCTGGCCACACTGGGATCCCCTTGGGAGCAGGCACTAGTTTTATGCTGTTCTGTATCCTTGGACGTGAACAGAGGGCCTGGCCCAGTGCAGAGCTTGGTCTGGTTGGTTGTTAATAGGCCAGTCGCTAGAGAATGGGTGGTTGGTCACCCCAGCTGGCAAGCACCTCTGCAGCTAGAGCTCTTGGCCTGGCACCAAGAGGGACTCCCAGCATGGGGCAAGCACACAAAGCTTGCAATAAAGACTTCTCCAAGCAGTAAAGGCTGTGCAGAGGGAAAAGCAAGGTGCTGCTGGGACAGCTTTGCCCAAGGGATGAAGGGGCAGGGCATGCACAGGGGATGGCAATATTGATTATGCTCAAAGCAATGCAATAAGTAGTGCAGGCTATAAAGAGGTAACCCTCAACTGGCTTGTTTTGAGAAGCGAGTCTGGCCAAAGCCTACGTGCTGAGGTCAGATTAACTTGCACCCAAATTCCGTTCCCACAATGAAAATGTTCTTAACTAGAAGGACAAATTTCTTTTTGTTTGTTTGTTTGTTTTTTGTTTTTGTTTTTTTGAGACAGGGTCTCACTATGTAGTTGAGACTGATCTGAACTCACTATGTAGCCTAGGCTGGTCTCAAACTCAGAGTGCTCCTCCTGCTTCAGCCTCCCGAGTGCTGGGACTACAGGCGTGTGCCACCACGCCCAGCTAGAATGACAAGGTTCTAATTACAACCCTACATTTTGTCTGTTCTGTTCCTAATTTGAGAATGCTTTGTCTTTTTCCTTTCCAAGCCTTACCTGCATTAGTTTTCATAGAAACTGAACGGCTGCAGATCCTTGCGCACAGTCCTGCTCTCTCTCACTTAGCTTGCCTGTAACCCAATTGATTACCAATAAAAACCAGTGGCTTGGACTGACCAGTGCTTTTGCTGATTATACAGCTTTGGCCATCCTGGCTCCCTAGTTTCTCTGTCTCTTTATTTCTGTCTTTTAGGTTTTTTTTGTTTTTTGTTTTTTTTTTCCGTCAGCCTTGCACCATAGCACTGAGCAGGAGATCAAAACCTATTGCAGTCTAATTGCCCATCAGTTGGAGACTGGATAAAGAAGATGTGGTTTTTCTATAAATTGGAGTACTACTCAGCCATAAAAAATTAGAAACTAGAGTCATTCACAGGAAAATGGATGCATATTGAAGGCACAGTCACATGAAATAAATAAGACACACGTGTAAATATCTAATAGTTTTTCTGGTGTGAAAAACTAAAAGTGTAAATAAGATCCAAATTGTATAATTGACAATGTGAAATAAGAAAAGGGCTAAGGGTGTAGGGGAAGTGGGGAGGGTAGGGGAAAGGAAATTAGGGAAAAGAAAAAAATATGAGAAAATGAAAAAAATGGAAACAAAGTCTTTGTAAATAGGGAAGGGTGGAGGGGGTGACGGGAAGACAGGGGTTTGGGGAAAAAATGAGAACGAAGATCTGTAAAGGTACAAGATCCGAATGATAAGTGTAACTGTACTGTATATTTAAAAAGTACCAATAAATTCAATGAGGAGGAAAAAAAAAACCTACTGCAGAGGTCTCTGATAGGCGTGAGATCCGGCTGTGCAGTGGGGTCAGGGAGGGCTTCTTGGAGGAGGGGACTTGGAGTGGCCCTTCAAGAGCTTCAGGTCCTTTTAACAACTTTGCCTGTCCTCTTGGCATAGTCTGGGGTTATGTGTGAGCAGGGGAGGTGAACAAAATGTTCAAGCAGGTGGAATCCAGGCCCTCCCATGCTGATGGCTTAGAGAGAGGAGCACTGCACCAGGATCCAAGGCTTACAGGGTTTGCTAAGGGTGTGAGCTGGGGTGAATGGCCAGACCATGCTGGACTCAGGCATCTCTCTAATGGCATCACTAACCTCCTTGGAACCCTGTGAAGTTCAAGCAAACAATATCACAGAACTTTTTTTTTTTTGTTTTTGGCTTTGTGAGACAGGGTCTCACTATGTATTTCAGACTGCTCTGGAACTCACTGTGTAGCCCATGCTGGTCTCAAACTCACAAGTGATCCTCCTGCCTCAGCCTCCCAAGTGCTGGGATTACAGGCCTGCACCACCACGCCCGGCTACATCACAGAATTTTGTAAACTGAGTGCTGTCTAAATTTTAATGGTAGAGACCTATTCGGATCATTCCTGTGTAAGATCACCTGTGCAATGAGACAGTGACTTCGAAGGAATTAAGTGGGGTTACGGACGTCAGGCCATTGGACAGCATCTGGAGCATAGTGCCCAGTACAGTCTGAACTAAGGGCTAACCCTCCAGCGTGGCCCGGGCTTCTATGGTCCCTCTCCCTGGGATCCCCACTCCCCATCCACGTGGTTCACTCCTTCTCCTGAGTCTGTGCAAATATCCCCATTGCAGCCAGGACTCCCTGAGACCTAATTTCCCCTGTAATCCGCCGGATAGGCAGCATCCCCAGTACTCCTCATACCCCTCCCTATTTTCTCCCCCCACAGCACTTATGAGCATTAACATAGTATCTTTCCTATGTTTGATTTGTTTCTATCCTGTCTGTCCCCAACTTCCCCACAGTAGAACCAAGAGGGTAAAGGTTGTTTTGCTTCCTGTACTGCCCCAGCGTCCAACCCAGAGGACACCAAACTTTCTCTTGAAGGGCCAGATAGTATTGTAGCCTTTGCAGGTCATATAATCACTGTCACAACTACTCAATTCTGTCACATGTAAGCAGCCATAGCAATATATAAACAAATAAGAGTGGCTGTGTTCGAATAAAACTTTATGTTAAAACTGAGGGCAGATGGAATTCAGCTTGTGTCCCCTGGCTTTCCAGTTCTGGACTAGATCATTGTCTGGCACATTGTACGTGCTCAGTAAATATCTACTAAATTCATTAATTGGCACATACATGGATGGATAAGCACAAGATACTTGATATAGTGTCTGATATCACCTGGTACTCGGTAAATACACCTGCCTCCCTATTTTGTTCTTAAAAATATGACAAGATAAACTATGATGCCTTAGAGGCCCAACAAAAGTGCTATGGGAGGGCTGGGG